AAAAAAACAGGACCAAGGACGACGAATGAGCTAGGAACTGTGGTCCCAGATCGCGGGCAAAGCAACTGCATATCATTCCCTTTCCGAGCTGTTTAAGTGCTAATTCCATTTAACCTCCAATAAATCAGCCTCAGCTTCCATTTCCAATTATGCATTTAGAACGAGGCACAAATATGTCAGATACATAAAAGAGAATGTTTCCCAAGAGCGGCAGTTACGAGCACAGCCACTATTCAACTCTATTCAAAAGCTACCCATTTGTGCTGGGTGCAAAAGCCCAACGCCACTGGTGAGTGAGTGGGGCAGGAGGGCGGAAGGACAGGCGGGCTCCAGGCTGGGTCCAGGGAGGACCAGGCGCACTGCAGCCTGTGTGCGCCTTCAGTTGCTCTTGTCTTCTGCAGCGCATCCGGGGTCTTAGCCCTTCTCGGGGAGCACATCCAGCATGGCAGGAGGCTGGGAGGTGGGACCTCTTTTCTTGCCTCTGCAGGCGGAGGCAGCTCTGGGGGGGAAGCAGAAGGCCCGAGATGGATGAGGACAGAGGTGGCCTTTGTAATCAAGTGATGGCTGTCCACGTGCTGCCCCTCATCTGCTCCTTGGATAGAGGATCCTAATCCCCTCCCTGCATAGACGCCTACCTTCTCATGCAGGGGAGCCGCCTCCATCCCTGCTGGATTACAGCAGGACCCCCTTTCCTCGGGATCCCCCTACATAAACTGTCTTTGCAGAAGGAGCAGGAGGAAAGGCCAGGACACTACAGTCTCAGGACGCTTGGGCCTTCCCCTGCCTCACCCAGCCTGTGGTTGGGCTGCAGACTAAGTGTCTTAAGGACCATGAAGATGGGCATGTGGGCAGTGGCTGAAGGCCTGGTCAGAAAGATGTTGAACTTTGGATTGACGGCACTGAGGTTGGTGGGTGGGTGAGGGCATTTTCAGGCAAGACCGGTGTCGAGTACTTACGATCCAGCCACCGCCATCGGTGGTCATGTCGCAGTACACCTGTACCTTCTGGCTGAGCTCCCCTTTGAGGAAGATGGTGTAAACCCCACTCAGGGTGTCTCCATTCATCAAATGCTGGGCACAGTCTTGCGGGTGAGGGAACACTCGGCCCCCTGTGTAGGAAAAGAGGCAATTTCCACAAAGGGTTCTTTCTCCCACTGGGAGACCAGACATGGTTCTACAAGGTGCCACGATCCTTCGCCAAGAGCTATAAGAAAGCCTCCCTGGATCTCAAACAGTGTGCATGGGCATGAGAACCCCGAGCCGTCCTGCCTTCTCCCTCTTTAGCGGATGCTTGGCTGGCCAAAGAGTATATGTGGGATTGGTGTTATGGGATCTGAGAACCAAATGCTGGATTAATAGTCTGGCCCCTTTACTTACCTTCGTGACTTGAAGCAAATGGCCTGACTTCCCTGCAAGTTAGTTTCCTCATCAGTAAAATGGAAATAAAAAAAATCTACTCTACCTTGCAATGTAGGAGCCATGGGGGTGTAGTGGTTACGCATTGGGCTGTTAACAGCAAGGTTAGCAGTTCAAAACCACCAGCTGCCCAGTGCGAGAAAGATGGGGTTTTCTACTCCCATGAAGAGTTCCAGTCTCAGAAACTCCCAGGAGGCAGCTCTACTCTGTCCTTTAGGGACACTGTGAGTTGGTATCAAATCAATAGCAAAGAGTTTGGTTTGGGTTTGGACCTTGTAGTGTGAATGTGTGTTAATGCAGCTAGTTACTGTGTGGGGTTTTTTTTTTGGTGATGATTACAGATACATGGGCCAAGATAAAATACCTTTCAGAAGGATCAAAGGTATTTCACTATCTTCCGAGCAGCCATTAAAAATGCGCAAACAAGCTGAGTGTTAGCAAGAAGATGGATATTTGATACTCCTGTGGAATAATCTCCTGATTGTACTAAACAATCCGAAGGCTATGTTTTAGAGTTCAGTTTAAGTTTAAGGAGAGGGAAGGGGAAGTAAATTGCCGCTCATCTTTCAGAGAGAACAGCGCAATTTGTAGAACAATATCCAATTAGCTGAAAGAGAAGCTTAAATCATATGTCTCAGAGCTTAGCTTTTCAGGGCAAATTTTAATGTTCAGTAAGCAGGCCAAGAAGCTAGGAGCTCACCGGAAGAGCATTCCTAGGCTGCAGGAGCTGATTGAGCAAATTAAAGGCAGGGCTTGCTGGGTAGGGAAGAATGGTTTGGATGCTCAGCACATAAAATGATCATCTGGGTCAATGAAAGCGTGCCGCAGCGATGGGGTTCTGCATTCTAGAATTGCCGCGTTCACCGAAGCGAGGCTGGGTAGGGAGCTCAGGTGTCAGTCGCCACAGTGGCCCCTGGTGGCAGAACAAGTATACTACAGTTGTTGCGTAGATTCTCAAGGGTTGTTCTGAGCAAGAGAAGGCAAAATCCCCACGAACCAAAGATCCTCTGGCAGAGATCATCAGTAACACGGCCTGGGTTAGAAAAAGCTGCAGGAGGCTGGTAGATCCCTCTGGAGGTGTGTTAACTCTTTCTAGGCACAAGGACTGTACTTCAGCTAGCAGCCGTGCTTAACCATGGGCTAGGGCTGGGGGTGGAGGGTGGATTCCCACCTTGGATTCTTTTCAGAAATTACGACAGTAGGTAGTGGATTCACATCCAGGAGAAAGCGGCATCTGTGACTGGAGACCTCCTACTCCTAACTTAGGTCCAAGGGAGAACAAACTTCGAAGCGGTGCCCTTTGCTTGGGCCAATATTAGCGGTGCCCTTTGCTTGGGCCAATATTAACCGTCCCAGTCTGAACCTCTGTTGGCCCAAGGGCTGGTTTCTGATGACGTGGCTGTTTTAGCTTCTTCTCCTCAGTCAGGGCCCTCCCTCGAGGGAAGGCCCTGCTCTTTCATCAGGTCAGTACGTTGGTGGACCTTCGGCCATGGCAACCCAACTCCACCCTTTCTCTGCTTCCCTGGGTGGCTTGACTCCTAGTGGAAAGGTGGGTGGTTCGAACCCACCCAGGAGGGCTGTGGAAGAAAGGCCTGGTAACTTCCTGCGAAGATTCCAGCCTGGAACCCCGTGGAGCAGCTCTAGTCTGTGGCACCTGAGGTCGCCCTGCATTGGAGTTGACTGGAAGACTGTGGATCTTGGGGTTTGGGTCTAAGAGACCAAGGGGTGACATAAGCAATGTCCCAAAGGAGCTCTGTGGGCAGCTGTCTGTCTAGAGCAGTGGTTCTCCACCTTCCTAATGCCGTGACCCTTTAGTACAGTTCCTCGTGTTGTGGTGACCCCCCCAACCATATAATTATTTTCGTTGTACTTCATGACTGTCATTTTGCTACTGTTATGAGTCAGGCGACCCCTGTGAAAGGGTCGTTTGACCCCCAAAGGGGTCACAACCCACAGGTTGAGAACCGCAGGTCTAGATCCATGCGACTGGGTGATAGACCGAGCTTCAGGCCATCTTCCCTGCTCCCTCCTGTCTGTCTTCCTTGTGGGTATGCCCTCAGTGGGCTGATCCTAAGATTAGGTGAGGGGTGGGGAAGGAGCGGTAATGAGAGACCCTATTTAGTTTTGAATGTGAGCCTGGTGCTGTGTTCTAGTGTTGGACCATAAGTCCTGGTTTGGGGACTCTGGCTTAACTACTACTAATAACGTTCCGACTCCCATTGGCCAGGGCATTCTGCAGATGGATGCCAGGCCATCTAACACCATCAGAAGCTCACTTCTCATCCTGACTCTGATCCGCATAGTGGTTGTTTACCCCCAAGGAAGACATTTCAGGACCAAGAGCAACACTGGAAGGCCTTCTTCCTCTCTGTGCAGTGGCTGGAGCCTGGCTTGGGAAGAGGTTTGTGTAGATTTTTTTTTAAGCCCAGGCTGTGATGATTACCAAGTTAAGAGGAAAGCAATGCCAAGTGATCGGTACACTGCAAAATCCCATGCTTAAGTGTTTCTAGATGCAATGGCGAGATCAGCAGGACCGGTGCGTTGGCCGGAAGAATTGCTCAGCAATTGGTTTGTGTTGGGCATCCCGAGGCTGAATGCTGAGTGGAGTGGAAGGAGCTACGTGACCCACAGCACAATCACAGGGCCCCCAGCTGGCTGGGAGTGAGGGAGGAGAGTGCTCGGCCTGTCCCCTGTCCTGTCCCTTATTTGTTCTGTACCCTTGAACAAAATGGTTGGAGTTAATGGCTCTGGGGAGTGCCTGCCCACTGGCTGCCTATACAGCCATTCTGCCAGTGTTTCTCTCAGAGAACAGCCTCGCCAGGTGGCTTTGTCACTGCTCCACAGAAGCACAGGGGGACCAGCTGGCCACAAGCACTTTGACTGTTTTTTTTCTACAAGTGGATTGGTAATCGACTCTCCCCTAGTTCCTCTTGTGTGAACTAATGGCCCACATTTGCAAGGTGGCTGGCTACACCGAATGAGAGGCTGTGGACAGGGCCAGGCTAACTGTGGAGCCCACCTGAGTGGTCAGATCCACGACCTTCACCACTTTTGCCACGTCTTCCAGTAGACCCACATGTGTATTCTCTTGTACAGTCATTCAACTGATGTCTAAGGAGTGCCTACTGGGTTCTAAACACGGGGCTCAGAGGTGAACGACAAAGAAGGAAAAGATAGTCCCACTGTCAGCATTGACTCAGTGGCTATGCATTTGATTTCTGAGGGGGGAGAACAGGAACGTAGAGGGGAAGACACGCTCTGTCTTCTATAACGGAAGTGTGCCATGTGATGTCTTCTGGGATTGGGAAGGATGGGGAAAGAGGCCGGAGGTGAGGTCAAAGATGGCCAAATGCCAATCTGAAAAGGCTTCTTTCTATAGAAACATAGAATCTAACCACAAGTTGGTAAAATAATGTTTCAGTGGTCCATTTGGGAAATTGAAGATTCATCTGGAAGACAGAGCAGGAGCTATGTCTTGGAAGGATGGATGAGAGCCCTGGAGAGGTGGCCAGGAATCATGCCATGAAAGGACTTGGCTATAGGAAAGGGAGACCACTGATGGACTTTATGCTTAACTTTCTATAAGTATAATCCTCATTGCAATGTGGAGACTGGATTAGATGGGAGAAGGAACCCTATTCAGGAGTTCACAGCGGGACACCAGGAAGAGAGATGACATGGATCAGGAAGAAGAGTAGGGAGCGTCAGGGTCTCCATCCTCAGCAGATGTGGAGGAAGGTCCCAGAGCAGCTCTGCAGACCACATGCTTTCTACTCCCCAAGGGCCAGTCCCCTGAGGATCCAAATCTTTCTTTCAATGATCAGTCAGAGGCATCTGTCTAGTGGAGGGATAGTCCCACATACTTTGTCTGGCGATTCCTCGGATTTTCTGACATCAGACTGCCCCATGGGGCAGAGCTCCTCTGTATTACAGGGTTGCTGTGGGGCAGAAGCAGAGAATCCTGAGAGCTTTGGGTGGGTATGTCTGGGGGCTGGGCAGTGAGGGGGCCAGGGATGTGTGAGAGCTTGCTCAAGTACTTGGGCTTCTGGAGGGAAGGTGCTCTTTTGATGCATCTGAGAAATCAATAGGGATTTATAAATATGGATATGGATCTTCAATCCAAAAGCTATTCCTCTGAAAGGATCAATAAGAAAATGATATCACTGGCAAGATTTATTAAGAGATAAAGGGAAAAGATGAAATTAAGCAAAATCTGAAATGAAAAAAAAAGGGGAAATAGCTACAGTAATGGCAGAGATTAAAATAATAAAAGGCTTTATAAAGAATTTTATGCTACCAAGTTTTAAAACCCAGACGAGAGAGAAATAAGCAAGAACATAAAGAGTGCTATAGAGGAAAATTTAAAACTCTAGTAAAGAACATGCTTACGATTTGAATAAACGTAGAAACATTCTATGCTTTTAGAAGGGATGACTTAAAATGATAAAGATGGCAATTCTCCCTAAGTTAAGTTACAAATTCATTGCAATTTCAATCTAAAGTCTATTTGAAATTAAAAAAAAAGAATGTTATAAGCATACTCTAAGATGTTTATGGAAAAATTAAGTTCAACAAGTATGTAAATTAATCTTGAAAAACAATAGTGAGAGCACTTGTTCTACCAGGTACTAAGGTATATTCTAGTCATACATGTGAAAAACCAGGTAGTGTTGTCAAAATAGCAGACAGATAG